CTGTGTGTCAGACAGGGTACTACTGTGTGTCAGTCAGTACCAACCTGATAGGTTCAGGTGTCTTTATGGGTAGCCAGGACTGATAGGTTCAGGGTCTGTGCTTTTCTGTATGAGTGTTCTGTGTGAACCAATCTGATGTATGTATGATTGAGACTAAGCCACGTTACTGTATCTTATTCACTTGACCATTTTATTTTCCCTGTGTGTTGTTTAAATAAACCTTATTCCTTTGTGTGTTTAAAAATCCATCCCTGGTCTGTGTGACTCCTTACAGGGAATGGTTGGTGGCAGCTTAGTGAAACTGTGGCATATCCCAGTAGGTCTGGGGTTGTCACACCAGGCAGTCTGAAGACTGTCTCCAAATCCACTCTCAAAACGCTGGGAAGAGCAAGGAAGCAGACAGGCACCCTCTTCACTGGCCAACAGTTAAGTGAAAGTTCAAATTTCACGCTTTCGCCATCTCCCACGGGCTTTTTTTTTATTCATAACTCGAATCTAAGTTTGCGAGTCGAGTCAATATTTTTCTATCAGAGTGGTTCGTAAGTCGAAATGTTTGTAAATAGGGCCGTTTGTAAGTCGAGGATTGACGGTATGATTTTTCCACTTTGCTATACAGTAATGCTATGTGATTAATTTAATGTATATCAGTAAGACATTAATTTTAACTAACCATGACTATTTCAATGTCTTCATTATTATTGGTTTCAATTCATCACCTTTTCCTCCAAGCAATCTGCTATTTGTTCGATTAAGTTTAAAGATTCATTAAAGTTCCTGAAACTTATTAAGAATACCACTCACCTGTCCATCAAATACTAGTTTAAACCAAAACAGTAACTGGATTGTAACTGTTTTTCATCCTAAAATACGCATTACTAATTTTTCCAGATTTTGACTACTGTACTTCCATTCTTACTCTACTGAAGTAAAAGTTGAGTTAGCAACTGAGGCCCTAAGGCTGCACGTGGCCCTCAACTTCATTTCAAAAGTTTTATGAAAGAGATTAATTAAATCTTCTGAAGTCTGTTCTTCTCCTGGCAGTCTGTTGCAATGGAAAGATGAATAAGAGAAGGGAAGGAGGTGGGGGAAGTGGGAAAAGTTTACCTTTGGCCTAATCAACTCTTAGATTCAACTCTACCTACAGTCACTGTGTAAACCCTGACAATTTCCCCCCTTCCAGCAAACATCTGAGCTCCACTTCAAACATGGACCAGTCTGTGCCCAGATCAATGAATAATCTGTATAAGACACCATGTTCCTTAATCCAAAAATATGTATTTCAATAATTAAATTAAGAGGCACCAAGGCAAAAAAAACCCTACTTACCTTAATAGTGTTCTGAGTTTCATTGTTTCTAATCACATGCTGACGGCTTTCTTTCAAATCTACTGATGGATGAGTTCTGTTACTTGGATATTCCAAATTGCTAGAAAATTCTCTCAATTTTTCCAAAGTCTTTGGACATATTTGAAGGGGGCCACATTTCTTGGGTTCTATTGTATTAGCAAACAACAACAAAAAACTTGTTTCAAGTTAAACTTGCCATGTCCAAAAGAGAACTTCCCATATTTCCTCCCAAGCCCTTTCATTTTCTGCATACATTTGCTTATCCATTTACTACTTTTTTAAATTTCAAGTTTGTGTCAGATCTTTCTTTAATACAGCAAAACTGTATCAGCAATGAACCATAACCCACTTACACTGCCACCATTCCTGCCACCACTCTAGTGACATTACACATATATCCATGACTACAATTAACTCTTAAACATATAGACACATAAGAACAGGACATGCAACTAACTACCCTGCCTCCACTTTGCTTCCCCTTCTGTTCTTCTGAATTAGATTTTATATTATAAACTGTTCAGGACAGACATCTGCCTTCTTCTTTCTTTAAAGTATTATGCACACCAATGGTACATTATACAGTATACTAATCCAATAATACTTGTGATACGATTTACAGTTTAAGTTGAAATGCAATGTAATATAATTGGCAGTGTTTTCCTTTAACTAAAAGGCTTTTCAGACAGGTGTTGTGTATCACCTACACACATAGTGAGGTCAGAAAAAGGTCTCAGATTCACAAATAAAGAGCGAAGAGGTAAATTTTAATATAAATGTATACCAACAAACTTTTCATAGACATTCACTTTACATTTAAGTACTTAACATTTTTATTTGTGAACATCTCACATATAAACACACTAGGCTAAATCCATACCTAATTTACTAGACCCACTTAATAAATGGAATTTTTTATCTCTACATTTATACAAGTCCCACCAATTCAATGGGCCTACTTTAGTTTGGCTTATCAAACTATTAAATCTGGCCCATGAGATTTATTTTATTTACAAATGTGTATAAACTGCTTCAAAGTAGTCTACAAAAATTAATACAATATAAAGCCATACATAAAGTCAAGATAAAATATTTAGTGCATCCCCAAAAATAGATAGTAAGTCTGAGCTGCACTAAGAAGGCTTACAAGAATGATCAAGTGTTGTTTCAATGTGAACACAAAAAATAAGAATTGTTGATGCGTGTGGGCGCTAGGATGTTAAATGCCCTGTTCCAAATAACTACAAAGCAAAATTCATATAAATATCAATTGATGGGTACGCTAACCCTGAGCTTCCAAACTGCATTTTGTACAAAGTCTAATCACTATTGTACACAATCTTATACATATTTATACAGGACTAAACCCCGCTGTGTAGAGACGGACTTATTTACAAGGGAGTTTGCATAGAATTGTGTTCTTAATGTCAAATCCAGAAGTGTCTGCATGAAGCAGGTGGTATATACACATTTAGGCAGATGAGGATCAACCTTACATACAAATGATCATATATGTCTATCTTCCGCAGAACTCTAAATGTAATTTGACGCAACTATCACTACAGCTATGAAGGGATCATATGCCTCCTGACAGTGCATTTCAACATGTCTGCTTAGAAAACTAATTCCAATAAGTTCACAGGGTTTACTTTCATGAAGCTAGATACAGGACTGTAGCTTCTGTACAGTCTGGGGCAGCTCTGGATTTTGACAACAATATATAAGAGTTTCTAGAACAGCTTTTAAATTGAGATAAGGCCTAAGGACGGAAATTAATTAAATTAACATAGCAGCCCTGAGAAAGAATTAGTAAAAGTTCTGTCCTCGGATTCCACTGACTGAATCTGAGGCAGAAGGAATACATGTAAAGAGGAAGTGTTTCATTATAATTACAGGCTCGCTTATGCAACCCACCAGTTTCCAGCACAGTCATGGTACTGCCATCTTCCTTTCTTGTGCTCTCCAGAGATTTTGAAAATCTGTCAGCATGTTCTTGCTTCTTTCCAACTTTCCTCTTTTTTCCATTAGGTTCTTGAGCCTAAAAAATAGCAATTTAAGCAAATTCAATGTTTACTGTGTAAGAGAGTACAGTGGTGCCTCGCTTAACGGGCGCCCCGTTTAACAACGAAATCGCACACTGACGAACTTTTTGCGATCGCATTGCGATGTTTTAAATGGGGGGAAATCGCTTTGCGATGATCGGTACCCTGTTTTGCTTACCGATTATCGCAAAGCGATGATTTTCCCCAGCTGATTGGCGGTTCCAAGATGGCCGACGGGTAAAAAAATGCTTAGGGATGGATTCCTCGCTTACCGGGCAGCGAAAATGGCCGCCGTATGGAGGATCTCCGCTTAAAGGTCAGTTTTGAGTCCACAGGAACGCACTGAAGGGGTTTCAATGCATTCCTATGGGCTTTTTAAAATCGCATAGCGACGAAATCGCTTTGCAGCGATTTTTGCTGCGCCGATTAACGTTGCTATGCGAGGCCCCACTGTAAACCTTTGGTCTAGATGGGTGGGATAGAAATCCAAAAAATAAACAAGAAAATAAAAATATGAGAAATATGCGTTCAAAATATTAAAATATACTATTTAAATATGCATAATTTGTGGTTCTGGATGTGATTTTAGATACTTGTAATTCATGATTTTAAATGTTTTTATGTAGATTTGTAGTCCTTGTGAACTCTTAGGAGAAAGGATGGGGCACAAATTGGATCAATAATAAATTCAAACATCACCCTTGTATCCAAGATGATGCCCAAGCAGAGAATACAAGTGAACAGAATAATATGACCACTTCCTTCTTAATATGAATGATTGTTGAACATTTCAGGTTTCTCATTAGCAAGTACAGTGGTGCCTCGCAGAACAGCGGGATAGAAATCCAATAAATAAACAAGAAAATAAAAATATGACAAATATGCGTTCAAAATACTATTTAAATATGCATAATTTGTGGTTCTGGATGTGATTTTAGATACTTGTAATTCATGATTTTAAATGTTTTTATGTAGATTTGTAGTCCTTGTGAACTCTTAGGAGAAAGGATGGGGCACAAATTGGATCAATAATAAATTCAAACATCACCCTTGTATCCAAGATGATGCCCAAGCAGAGAATACAAGTGAACAGAATAATATGACCACTTCCTTCTTAATATGAATGATTGTTGAACATTTCAGGTTTCTCATTAGCAAGTACAGTGGTGCCTCGCAGAACAAGCACCCCGTAGAGCGATGAATTCGCTCTACGGTGACGCTTTTGCGATCGCTAATGCGATCGCAGAGCGATGCCCCCAATGGGCGCGAGGGGAGGGTGCGAAAGTGACTGCCGGCCATAGGGAAGCATCGCTGAACGGTGAGTATTCGGCCCAATTGGAACGCATTAAACACTGTTTAATGAGTTCCAATTGGTTTTTTCTTACCGCCCAGCGATGTTTCACACAGCGAGGGTTAATCCGGGACGGATTAACCTCGCTGTGCGAGGCACCACTGTACTATCTCACACAGCTACCAAAATATAATTGATAGTCCCTTTGCCATCTGCAGAAATTCCACCAGTCAGACTTCTGGGGGCCTTAGCAAAAACAAAGAAAGAAAACCAGTCCTCTCAGGTTTTTGCAAACATTCACAACTGAGAAACAATGGCTTCTCTCTTCCAAATGAGAAAAATGAGGAAGTGGCTAGGCAGGGATAAGGTCTCGTGAAACTCCAAGGCATATCTGGTAGTTGCTTGAGAAGCACTTTGTATGAAACATAACAGGCAAGGAGAATACAAAACCCATAATGCCCTGCAGTTCCCATAGGATGTACTGTAGCTCCAACCAGCCACATCCTCTGTCTTCATTATGTTCAAGAGAGACTATTATTTCTCAGATAAAAGTGATTACAGACTCCTGAAATGATTGGGGTGAGGTGGCTAAAGCCCTCAGATGTGCAGCTGGAGGAATTCCTGCAGACATCTGGAGAGTGTAGTTCACAAATTCTGAAAATACCATGCATTGTTAACACATTTTCCAGCTGTCTTATAAAATGTTAGCAAGTTTCTACAAATATTAAAATGAAAACATCCAGAGTGAATGTAGAACATGCTGGGGACAGGTGTGAGCAACAGATGCTTAATGCTGGGATATTCAACTGCTTTCTGTTTCTTACCACACATATAAGGTAACAAATTATTTGAATGCACAACCTTCCTCTCAGAATTCACTAGAAAGGAATGAGTGTTTGATTATATCATACATTTTCTGTTATATATACAGGACACCAGGGCCAGATCAAACCAAAGTCCTATCTATTATAGCATGGCATTCCCACGAAGGCTAGCTAGGTGCTAACAGGAAGGTCACAAGAATGAATGCAACAGTACCTTCCTTCTCATGTTCTCTACAACTGCTATACAGAGACATATTATCTGGGAAACTATAAATAAAAATGTTCACAAATAGCAGGCATAACTGTATCATCCAGACTTGTGGCGCAGTGGTTAAACTGCTGTACTGCAGCCAAAACTGTGCTCAGGATGTGGGGTTCAATCCCAGGTAGCCGGCTCAAGGTTGACTCAGCCTTCTATCCTTCCCAGGTCAGTAAAATGAGTACCCAGCTCACGGGAGGGGGGGGGGATGTGTAGCCTGCATAATTATAACTTGTAAACAAACTGCCCAGATAGCGCTTGAAGCACTAGGGGGCGGTATATAAGCAGCACGCTTTGCTTAACCTTATCTAACATCCTTCTAAAGCCCCTTCGCTGGTAATCACTGAATTTTGTGCTAGAAATTCCTCGATTTAACTCTTTGCCACGTGAAGCACTTCCTTCTTGAATTCCCTGCTACATAACTTCATTGGGTAACCTCTCTTATCTGTTCCTTATCCTCTTGGGGCAGGATAAACACGAGTCAAACTCAAATAAACTAAAATACACCAAGCTTTCCAACGAGAGAGCTTTTTTTAAGACAACGGTCACTGGGTGGCCCTTGTTCAAGGCAGATACTTCCTTCGCGAAGCCAGGAGAGCTGATCTACTAAAACAACACTGCTGTGCGTAGCTCTCCTCGAAGCGCTCAAGGAGAACCGGATGAGACCAAAGCCTTCCCCACAAATGATAAAAACATCAGCGGAAGCAGGGAGTTGTTCTTAAGAAGCCCCCCAACGTGTCTCGTTTTGGGGACCGTATGGAGGGCGCCATACAAGGGAGGAAAAACGGGATGAGGACCCCCTGGGAATGAGGAGACTGGGCTCTAGCCATACGAAGGCAGGGCGTGAGGTCAGGGCCCCCCCTCGCCCAGGCTGTCCCCCGCCGCCGCCGCTGCCACCCTCTCTCCCATGCCAACCGGGCGCGCACCGCAGGCCGAGCCAGCGCGGGAGCCGCCGCCGCCACCGAGCCCTCCTGCCGTTCCTCCGCGCCGCGGACGGAGACGAGCGCCGAAGCATAAGCGCTTGACTTCAGGGGTCCAACCGGCTGAAAAAATCTACTTAAGACCGGCTGCCCTCGAGAGTCCCTGCCAGGCTGAGGTCGTTTTCGCCCCCGCGGCATTCTAGCACGCGAGGAGGAAGAGGGCAGCTCTGAAGGGAGAGACTCGCGCCGGGTAGTCTAGGATACAGGCGGGCTCACAGAAGCCTGCTTCGTCGGCTCCTCCTCCTCGTCTTTACGACGGCGAAAGCGCGCTCGGCCGCGGGAGAGCAGGTCGTAAAAAGAGGAGAGCTCATTACGACAGCGTAATGGCACGCCCCTTGGGGGGCGGGTCCTGTCCCTCCTGCGCGTGCTCTGGCGGCGGTTGTCCGTCAATCAATCGGTTGTTCCAAAAGTCATAAGCGCGGGAGGAGGATGGCGCGCTCCTTGTATTCCATCGTTGCTGTAGGCAAGAACATGGGCATTGGGAAGGACGGGGCGCTCCCTTGGCCCCCGCTGAGGTAAAGGCGGGATCTCCCGTTACTTTCATCATTTCCCACGCGTTTTACAGAGGAGAGTTACTCCTCCAGTAGGCGCTGCTGCATCGCATGGCATCAGCCTAGGCTGGGAAGGGTAATTGTCATCATCTCAGATTTTTGCCCAAAATCATTTTAAATGTTAATTATGAATACCGGGAGACGACCCACCCCACCCAGAATATTATCCTACGTATTATCTTCTCTGGGCATTGTCGCTCTTCTTTTCTCCCTGTGTGCCGAGCACAGGGTGCCCTTTCCTGCCTGAACCTCGGCTGCCTGGCCCTTTGAACCCAGAAGAGGGGTCAACGCCCGGCCGATCCTGAGGTGGCATGAAGAGAACTGGCAGATGGCCTGATTAGGGTTGCTGCCAGGAATCAATATCGGATTGGCCCAGACCCAAGACTTCCTACCTCAGCATGAAGGATGAAAAAATTCCTTGCCCCACATTTTGGGTACAGAGGCCAACCTCAGTGGTAGAGAAGGCTGTCCCTGCAGCTCCTTTGCATCTCTTGCTCTCCTTTCCACTGGGCTGTCCGCTGTTTTCCAAGTAGAAGAAAGTGAAACACCATTACTGTATTATGATGAATTTGCTAGCCTTTAAGGTGTTGTGAGATTGAATCCACGCGACGGAGTGAGCGCCCGTCGCTTGTCCCAGCTCCCGCCAACCTAGCGGTTCGAAAGCATGCAAATGCAAGTAGATAAATAGGGACCACCTCAGTGGGAAGGTAACAGCGTTCCGTGTCTAAGTCGCACTGGCCATATGACAACGGAAGATTGTCTTCGGACAAAACACTGGCTCTATGGCTTGGAAACGGGGATGAGCACCGCCCCCTAGAGTCGAACACGACTGGACAAAAACTGTCAAGGGGAACCTTTACCTTTTAAGGTGTTGTGGGATTTCCTCCTTGTTGCAACAGGTACCTCTTTAGAAACCTGCACTTATCAAATAGCACTTGTAAGATAATGTGGTTTTTATTTTTCAGAAGTTTTTGTGTGTTCAAGTACACGTCTTGACATAAATGGGGGTGGCTGTATTTCTAGGGGGGAGTATAAAACTGTTGGCAACAGTTCTAAGCTGCCAACCATTCCTCCTGCCAACTCTTTAAAACTAAATCTATAAGAGACAATACAGAGTGATTAATTCCATCACAATGGTGGTAAGGCTTGACTGGGTAATAAGGGTTGAGAGGATTAGATTGGTGTACTGTACTTAATAACATAGGAATCCAGTTTTTTAAAGCCTAGAGTTTGCTGAACCTCCTGATATATTCTTATTCAGAAAGCGTCCTTTGGACTCTGTTGTTGAAATTTGTTTGTTCGAGGACTGCAACTCTGAGATCAGAGAATCTGTGAGGAAGTGCAGGAAGAATGAAGTGTTTAGCTACTGGATTCCAGATATTTCTATTCCTGATGTCCATGTTCGGTCATTTGTCCAATATAAAATGCAGTGGAGCATTTCTGATTCTCTTTAGAATGTATTTTTCTTATTACGTTGTTGTCCTTTTAAGTGCCAGATATGATGAGGTCATTCTATACTTATTCCTGGGCTGCTGCCTTTTCTAGCAGGGAATCAACATTGGTCAAGAAATGTTGACACGTGTGGGCTTTGCTGTCCTTATACCTTAGAGCAGGAGTGAGGAACTCCTCTGGCTGGTGTTAGAACACAACTTCCATGACCACTAATTTCATGGGCTGCAGCTGTAGTGACTTGGAGATCATTTGCAGTGACAGATTTCAATGAAGCAGCTGTCAAAGGCTTGGAAACAGAATTGGAGAAGTGGTGATAATCAATGTCTTTGCAGGGAACATCAAACCATTTTTTTTTGTTTTTTAACAGGAATGAGCTTAAATATTTCCATAAAATGACCACGACATCTACACAAGAAGGTATATGTGCTCTTTTCCTGTGCTTCTAATGTCTGTTGGTGTATTTTACAAGTACATAATGCTTTGTGTAATATGTACATTCTCAAGACTGGCTTTGTTCTCCATTTGTTCAAAAAGTAAAAGTTAAAAAAAAAATGAAAAGACACCAAAATCTACTGTCATATCCCATAATGGTTAAGCATATTACAAGATTTTGAACAAATGGCCTATTTGAACTCATGCTATGTTGCAGTGAAAGAGATTTACCCTCCTATAATTTTAAGAGCCATGCAGGTCTGACATATGATTTCTTGTCAGTTGCAGTGTGACTATATGCATATGATAAATTACTTTTATGTGGCAATCCTGATCTGAAAATTGTGAGACCATCTTCTTTTGGAAAAGAATGGGCTGGTGGTATAATAGAGCAACTGATGGCTCAGACCGAGAATTTTTACCATTTTCAGCATTGCAATCCACATATAATGTATTATCTAGATACAGCAATGTTTACAGGTTTTGTGATATCTACATACAGTGGTGCCTCGCATAGTGATCGCTCCGTTTAGCGATGAAATCGCTTTGCGGCACTTTTTTTTGCGATCGCAAAAGCAATTGCTTTGCGATGTTTCCTATGGTTTCCTATGGCTTCAGGAACCAAGCATCGCAAAGCGACGATTTTAAAACAGCTGATCGGCGGTTTCAAAATGGCCACCGGGTAAACAAAATGGCCGCCCGCTGTTTTCTGGGAAGGATTCCTCACTTAAGAGGCACCGAAAATGGCCGCGCTATGGAGGATCTTCGCTGAACGGTGAGTTTTAAGCCCATAGGAACGCATTAATCGTGTTTTAATGCGTTTCTATGGGCTTTTTTCGCATTGCGACCTCTGCAGTGATTTTTGCGGAACGAATTAACATCGCAATGTGAGGCAGCACTGTATAGGCCATTAGCCTTGAGTGCTTCAACCTGTTAGAATTACGTCGCAATGCGAGGCACCACTGTATAGGTCATTAGCCTTGAGTGCCTCAACCTGTTAGAAATTTTTTTAAATCCAAAAATTGCTCAGATCTGCTCTGACCTAGATGCTGTCGTTGATACAGGAGGATCTGTAACTGTAACTTTGGCCCCTGCTTATTCTGTGTTACTAGATAAATGTCAGTAGTTGCAGCCTTTTTAGGGCAAGGTATTAGAGCCTGTGGTGTCTTCTTAGCTCCTGGATGATCTGGATTATCTAGATCCATTTCAGTCTGGCATCAGACCTGGTTATGGGATAGAGACTGCTTTGGTCACCTTGGTGGATAACCTATGCTAGGAATTGGACAGGGGGAGTGTGTCCTGTTGGTTCTGCTGGACCCCTCAGCAGCTTTCAATACCATAGACTGTGGTATCCTTCTGAGCTGTCTCTCTGGGACTTGGAGGCATTGTTCCACAGTGGCACCAGTCCTTCCTGGAGAAAAAAAACTCAGAAAGCAGGACTTTGGGACTCTTGTTTGACTCCCTGGCTGTCAGTTTGTGGTGTTCCTCAGGGTTCCATTTAATCTGCCATGCTGTTTAACATGAAACTGCTGAGAGATGTTGTCTGAGGATTTGGAGTCATCAATATATGGATGGCCCACCTCTATTTTCCTTTCCACCTAATTTGAAGGAAGCTGTTTCGGTTCTAAACTGGTGGCTGGTATCGGTAATGGACTGGACAAAGATGAATAAATTGAAGTTTAATCCAGACAAAACTGAAGTGTGCCTGGTCACTCATAAGACAATCAGGGAGTAAGATTTTAACCTGTGCTGGATAGGATTACATTTCCCCTGAAAACATAGGTGCACAGTTTGGGTTTGCTCTTGGAATCATCCCTGAGCCTAGATGCTCAGTCGTGGCAGGGGCTAGGAGTGCATTAAAGCTAGCACAGAAGCTGCGCCCATTCCTGGACATGTCTGACTTGGCCACAGTAACACATGCCTTAGTTACATCCAATTTAGATTACTGTAATGCGCTCTATGTGAGGTTGTCTCTGGAAAGTCTTCAGAAACTACAGCAGATCCAAAATGCCATAGCCAGATTGTTAACTGGAGCTGGTTACAGGAATTACATAATTCTACAGCTCCCCTGGCTGCCAGTCCATTTCTGGGCACAATTCAGAGTGCTAGTTTTGGCATATAAAGCCCTAAATGACATGGACCCAAGCTACTTAAAAGGCTGCATTTCCATTTATGAGCCTGCTTGGCTTTTAGAATAACCACAATAAGATTTTTTTTTCCTGTCATTGTTCTCAAGCTATGAAACAACCTCCCCCGAAGGTCAGCTGGCCCCCTCTTTATTGTCCTTCTCTAAGCAAGCAAAGACCTCTCTTCAGGCAGGCTTTTTCTAAGCGAGTGGTTCTCTAAGAGTTGAGCTGCTTTCCCCCCTTCCAGTTTTTATATGGTTTGTTTTTCACATTGTAAGCTGCCTTAGGTCCTTTTTTGTTAATGAAATAAGAATGGAATGGAACAAAATATGGGAGTGTCCAGTGCAGATTGACCAATGGGAATTAGCCCTAGCTTCAATACCTATAATCTCTTTAGATGTAATGCTACACTTGTTTCAGCAAAAACTGATGTTTCACCCAGATTAGACACCACTTTGTTTATTTAGAAATTGGCCACTTCAGCTGAATGTTAGCTATGCAAGATAGAGAATGCTTTTCTGATGCATATCATGTGAGCATGTCAACTGGTGGGCCCTATGAGGCACTGTAGTCCTTTGTCTTCAATAGCATCACCACAGTAATTTTGGGCATTTTGACATGATAGCATAAACCATTTATGAGAAGATACTGCAACCACTAGATGTCACTACAAATCCCTTTCTTCCATATTGCACAGGAAAACAAAACGTAGTAATAATGGGTAAGAAGACTTGGTTCTCCATTCCTGAGAAAAATCGCCCTTTAAAAAACAGAATTAACATAGTACTCAGCAAAGAACTAACGTAAGTACTGTATCTGTTCTAGACATTTTAGAGTTAAATCAAAGCACATACAGCTATGAAACTAACAGTGTTAAACTGATTGGTAGCACACCAACTTTTTTAAAACTCTGGTCAAGATCCCGTTTGGTATCCTGGTGTAAGTGCAGTTTTGTAAGTTGCAGTGGTGAGTTGCTGCTAGATCACATGGTTTTATCCCTTGCTGTGTGCTAGTTGTGTGAATCAGTGCATGAGCGGGCACACAAATGGCAACTCTTTAACTAGAGGCAACTTACTGCTGCTATTTACTTTTCATAGTTGTGCCAGCTAAACTAACCAGTAGGATTCTTGGCTCAGCTTTTTAAGCAGAAATCCCTTGTTCAGTAGCACAAGAGACCATGCTGTGGAAAATGTTATCTAGTAATAATAATACTATCTTCTTGTTTATAGATAATTGTCACGGTCCCCACGTGGCCCCTGCTTGTTTCACCAAACTAAGAGCTCATACTGCCTGCCACCAGTTGATTACATCAACATTACCTATTATTAATAATCGAGGTCCAGGCCATATGTCATTTTAAAAGGACCACATAGAAATTATTTATTGTTACAGATGTTAACAGGACAAGCAGTGTTGTTACTCTTAAACCAACACCCTTCTTTATCCATTCACAACCACCAATCTCCCGCCCAAACTCCCAAAACCACAGCAAAATCCTCAACTTCCTCTGACTAGCTCCCTATCTAAACTCCCCCTCCTCCTCCTGAGTCTCTTATATCTCGTGACTCTGCCCTTCCAGCACTCCCGTTGTCTATGCAGATATCATATGAATATTCATGCCACAGTAATTAATTCCAGTATTGTTTTGCTTTTGTTAGGCAGATTTCACGTTTAACAGAAGTGGTAGCACATCAGTTAGCAGGCCCTTAGTTTTTGAGTTATTGTCCTCTACTAGTAAATAAAAATTAATCCTACCTAATAGTTGTGACTTTTGCAATGGATTTCATGTCTCCAAGGAATACATACAGAGATTTCAAGTTCACTTGGCAATTAACTGTATCTCAAAATCTGTTTGGTTCTGTATTTCCCTGTGCTCTGGGGAATCTTGTTCCCAGGCCAAGATAGGTTTTTCAGTGGTTTGTATCTGATTAACCCAGTTGCCATTCTAGCATCATGGTTACTAATATTTTAGCTTCAGACTTCTTATGGATTCATCCCAGATACAACAATTCAAGCATGGCTTTTCTGTCATATATACATATATTAGAGAGAAAGATACTTGTAGTCACAAATAAGATAATAGAACGGCTGTAATTTTCATAAGAAATGTATATAATGCTTCTAGAACTGGCTATTTTTGCAGTTAACTCTGTTGTTCAACTGTGACACATAAGAAGCTCCAGTGAAAAATGGCATGTGGATGGCTGGGGAGATGTAATAGAAAGAATTATGTGGATGGTTCTTGTGATGTGTGGTATAAATGAATATGTAGATAAGCCTACTCTAGGTTCTAAAATTGTAGCAATATCTTATGCCTCCCCTTTCCCCCAAATGAACGATGTCCTGTATACCTACATTCAGAATGTTTTGTTTGTGTTCTTGGATATTGAGTGGTAACATCTGTTTGCTCTAGGGAAGTGCCTCAAGGAGCCCACTACCTGGCCAGAAGTCTAGATGAGGCACTAGAGCTTCTAGAATCATCAGAACTGGCAAGTAAGATAGACATGGTTTGGATAGTTGGAGGCCATTCAGTTTATAAGGTACAGTTCAAACATAATTTTAATACTTTAAAATTTAAAAAATAGAATAATGAAACATGCTTAGCTATAGAGTAGCTTATTTTCCCTGTAACAACAGCTTTCATTTCTGGGAATTAGACTGCCAGTTTACAACAATGTTCATTGGGAATTGAGTCATAGCAACTGGACTTCTTTTTTATTAGGTTGAAATGTTTTGCTACTCATCCAAGTAGTTTCTTCAGTCTGAGGAGAGTTGGTAGGGGATCCCTGATATATCCTCTGTGCTGGTTTCAATTCCCCCTATTCTGAACAGATTCGTAATGTTAAGATTTGAGGTGTGGAGATGGTTCCGAGATGAGTCAATCTTCCACGTTGAGAGCAAAGAGACTCACAGAGACAGTAAGTTCCTTCACCACCAGTGTATTTGCAGATTATGTAGAATGGAACTATGTACATCAGTCAACAGAGTTAGTAACACACTTTCAATAAATAAACGGAGAGCACTTTGTGCAGCAACTTTTGAACACAATACTCCACAGAGCACCATAGCACAATACTCCACAGAGCACATAAATAGTTTGAACAACTAATCATTGGGCACATCACCTGATGTCTTTTCCCATGTCCAATACACATTTCATGGATTGCATCAGCTTCATATGCTGACTATGTGGCCGTACACTTGTTTTAAGGTGGATGCCTATTAGTAAACTTTGGTTCATGTACTAAGAGTAGATTCTATATTGCTGGTCATAATATCCTGACACATTGTTTTTCTGGCCAATGGAAATACCCAAAATTTGTGTCCCTTTGGTTATGTAGTCCAAGAGCTAGTGGTAGTTGACCAACATAGTGTTCTTTCTGCTAAGGGAGGAGGGAACAAGCACCCTACCGCTTCTCCTCTCTGGCCAGACTAGAATGGGTTAAATAAAATTACAGTATTCTACATTTTTTTGTAACAGCGGGATTACAGTGGGATATTAAAACAAAAATCATTACAGTGGTGCCTCGCATAGCGAGGTTAATTCGTTCCGGATTAACCTTCGCTATGCGAAAACATCGCTGTACGGATCAAAAAAAGCCATTTTCTGCCATTCCAAATTGGCAGAAAACTCACCGTACAGTGATGTTTTCCGGGTCCGGCAGCCATTTTCGCGCCCTCAGTAAGCGAGGGGAGGGCGCAAAAACACTGTGCACGGCCATTTCGGCCGCAGCGAGACCGCAGATCAGCTGTTCGGCAGGTCCAAAATGGCCGCCGGAACACCCAAAATGGCCGCGCACAGCGTTTTCGCACCCTCCCCTCACTTACCAAGGGCGCGAAAACGCTGCCCGTGGCCATTTCGGGTGTTCCGGCGGCCATTTTTGACCCACTGAACAGCTGATCCGCGGGTGGCAAAACGAAGGTCAGTAAGCGAAACGCTTACCGAC